AGCAAGGGACCAAGCAAGCCAAAGCCAGCAAGGGTTACCTGCTTGCCGCAGTGCTTGAGGAGGGTGATGCGGTCAACGGATGCAGTGACGATAGTCAGGGGACCGTAGTGGGTCGTGTCGTCACAGTGGCGATAGGCGATGGTGCCGGCGAGGGCATCCAGGTCCTCCAGAATCTTTCCGACGCGGATGGAGCCTGCATAGGTCAGGTATTCTTCCTGCAGTAACTTGTCTGTGGAGAATGGCAGGCACACCTCCGTGTAGCTGTCAGCCATGGTCTTTGTCAAGACCTGGGACGGCTTGTGGGCATCCTCCTTTGTGATGGAATTGCGTGCGCGCCACAACTTGTTGGTGATACTGGACCTCTATATGTGTGTATGCGTGTGTATGCGTGTGTATGCGTGTGTATGCGTGTGTATGTGTGTGTATGTGTGTGTATGTGTGTGTATGTGCGTGTATGTGCGTGTATGTGTGTTTATGTGTGTTTGCAACGAAAGCTGCGGCAAGGTGTGCTCACCAGCATTCACACACGCGCGCGCACGCACACACGCGCACACACACTCACACGCACACACTCACACACACACTCACACACTCACACGCACACACTCACACACACACGCACAACTACCACTAGCAAGCCGCACCGGTCGAACTTCTCCGAGGACAGAAGCCAGGTCGTCTCTTGAGGAGGAAAGCGAAGCCGATGGCGAGGAGGAGAGGAGCCGCACACCGGCCACACGAGCAACGGCCGCGGTCTGCTGACGATGCCGAAGCACCACTCCAGCAACAGCCCGCAATCCACCACCCGCAACCATCATTGTCGTTGCTTTCCTTGCTTGCTTGAGGGGCTACGGAAAATTTACTGAAGTCTTTCACTGTTCATCGCCGAGGAAGGACTGCCCACGTTGGTTCTGTTGTTGTTGCTGTTGCTTGAGGTCGTCGTCGTCGTGTAGGCTTCTCAGCTTCTCTGGTGCTGTTGTTGCGGCTGCCTGTAAAGCCCGACAGAAGAGCACAGTTGATGCATTCGGGAGAGTGCATTGGACGTAGGGACGTGTATTGGATGGTATGGCGTTCATGTGAATGTGTTCATGTCTGTCACTGTATTTATGCAAACAAAAAAATGCAAAGAATAAATTACACAACAATGCACACCATGTCTGCAGTGTCTGCGTGTCCCATTCACGATTCCGAATGTCCAACCCCTTCTGGGTCCTCCTCCTCCTCCTCCTCACCACCACCACCATCACCATCATCATCATCGTCGTCATCCTCACCACCACCACCATCACCATCACCATCAGCAGCGCTCGCACACGCTGGTGTTTTGAACTGCAGATGATACAGCTCTGATATCTATACGAGAAGAGATCCATCAGCGCAGCGCAGCACAGCACACAGACATTTGCGACGGTGAGGAAGCAGCTTTTTTTGACAGCAAACGCAAGCAAACCACGCACACACAAGCAGTGGCGAAACCATGCACACACGCTCTGGCACTCTTCATACTTGTGTGGAGGTTGTCGCCTCCTCCGGTGTCTTGTCCTCTCGCTTGCGGATGAACCTGGCAGCACAACAACCACACCTCAGCTGTGAGAATGATGCAGTGCAGCAGCGCGGTGCAAGCGCAGCAAGGCCACCACCCCCCCCCCACACACACACACACACACACACACACACACATCGTCTGTCATGTACCCAAGAGCACAGAGCTAGATGCAGATTATGCACATTGCGCCTCTCCCCACCTGCCGAAAGCTGTCACAACAGTGCAGCATCGCATTACACAGAGCATGACCACCACCACCACCACCACCACCACCACCACCACCACCACAGTGCTACCAACGCACCGCGGGAAGCGCAGGGAAATGCCTGCACCAGGTCGATCTGCAACAGCGCCCCTGGCGGCGGTGTGCGCTGGCGACGCCGTAAAGTCGGCTCCCTTGATCTCCCACACCTGATCGGAGTGAAAGCACAGGCAGACGCGCACAAACTTGTGAAGTCGCTGAACACGCAGCAGTGAGTAAAGCAGCAGGCGGCAACGGGTTGCACGCAGCGAGAGGGACAGATTGAAACTGCGCAAGCACGACTGCGCAAGCACACACACGCACACACACACACAGACGCAAACTAGCAGACACACCTCGACCGAGTCAAACCAGACGCTGGGCGACATTTGGGCGCTGACGTCGTAGTAGCTTCGCTTGGCGTCAATGACATGCTTCTCTTTGAACAGTGCCGTTGTCGTCTTGTAAAACTCGTCCGTGAACCCAGACATCACCTTCAATACCAAGTGTGAAGGAGCAGGCGAGAGACAGGGGGGGGGGGTGTAGACATGTTGCAGCATCAGCACGGAGTGATTAGTACAGGTAACTGCACAGCAAGCAACCACAACAAAGGCAAAAAAAACCGCAAACAAGCACACACACATACACACACGCACACACACACACACACACACACACACACACACACACACACACACACACACACACACACACACACACACACACACACACCAAACACCAACCTTGCAAACGGATTGATAGGTCTCTGTTTCTTCGTCATAGCAGGCGAGGAGGAAAGGGGAGAACCAGCCTGCCTTGCGGCCGTTGCCCCACCACGCGCCAATCACAACCAAATCAAGGCTGTCGCTCAACCCTTCCACGTAGTCTTTCTTCACCTGTCACAACACACGGCCACAAAACCACAACACACGGCCAAAATATGCTATGAACGCGTGCATATGATTACAGCGACTCATGCTCAGCTGTGCCAACAGCATATGCTCTCTTGCCAATGCTTACGGAAAGTGGAGTGCAATGCACACCCACACATACACATACGCATACACACACACACACACACCACAGAACAACGAACACGATTCCCAAGCAAAGGTGACCAGTGAGTGGCACAGACCTTGAGCCAGTTTTCGCAGCGCTTGGATGGTTGATATGTGGAGAGGGCATACAAGTCGTCGCTGTCACTGCCTTGATTCTTGACAGTCTTCTTTCCGTGGGACGTGGTGGCTGCAAACACATGCACAAGTAGGAAAGGTAAGCAGATGTTTTCTGTCCCTGCAAGCATACCTAAAGCACTTGCACGCACAGAGTTGTACCGAAAACACACCAAACGTACACACATGTACACACGTACACACACACACACACACACATGTACACACACGTACACACACACACACACACGTACACACACACACACACACGTACGCACACACACACACGCGTGCATAAACAAAGGCACACGTACTGTCGTCTGCTGCTGGGATCATTTCAGGACCAAGTACCTTAATCATCAATCCTTCGCACCTGTTGTGGCAGGCAGTTGTGCCAGAGCATGCTCGAGTGTGATTGGCTGGTGGCGGATGCAGGTGACCGCGCACGTGCAATAGCAGACGCTTAGTTGCAATCGACATGGGATGCCGCAACTGCAAGCAGATCACACACACACACACACACACACACACACACACACACACACAGACACACACACACACAG